ACACAAAAAGGGTGCTCAGTATTATTTTACCTTTTTCTAAGTAGCATACTTGCTCTTGACACCTTTAGCTAAGAGAGGTATGAAAACAAAGCAATATGCTTTCTCTATAATTGATTTTTATGCAAAATTACACAAGTTTATATAAATATATGAAAGTGGACATAAAACCAGTCTCTCACTATCCCCCCAGCCCCAATCCCCAGTGTTTCACTATGGGCTCTGGAGTCAGACTGCTTGGGTTTCAAATCATGGTTCTACCATTTAGTACTAGGTGACCTTGGGCAGATTATTAGATACTTAGCCTGTCTGTGCCTCAGTTTCATCACTGTAAAACTGGATTAAATAATAGTACCTTTATGGCTTTGTTATGAGGATTAAATGAGATAGTGCCAAGGTGTTAAAAAAATGTGAGTTATATTGCTGCTACTAAGAAACGATTCGTTAGTCTGCCAAGTCTTTAATCAGACATTAAAACATTTTGAGAAATCATCTGTCTTAACACCTTGTTAAAAAGGGATGCGGATCTACATTTTAAAGAAGCAAAAAATAATTAAATCATTGAAACCAGCCAATTAGTAAACTAATAATTAAACTTGTTTAAGAGATTACAATAAATTCCAACTGTGTTGAAAGGATAATTCATTTCTTCCAACTTTGACATTAAAGGAACAAAAACACATGAGGTTGGAGTGGCAGGAAATTAACCTTTGTTGAGTTAAGATGTCCCAGGCATTGTACTTACCACACTCATTACACATTAATAAATGAGTATTTTCAGGAGAATAGCTTTTTTTTTTTCTTCCTTAAGGAGACGTGCTGCAGAATGAAAAGCAAGAAGGGACAAGAACCAAAAAAAAAAAACAAAATTTTGAAGCCTTAGAAAGTGGGTTACCAAGTGAGTCAAACAGCAAAAGCAGTGGTTCAAAGAGCATTTCAGCTTTATTTATTCTGCATAACAAAAAAAGAATAAAATTAAATATGCTCTGAATTTTAAATTATATTTACCAACACATTGCTGGTAATATATGCCCTTTTACTATGCATTGCTACTTTTACTTTGCCCAGAAAATGCTGAGGAAAATACTGAATAAATAGACATTTTATTAAATATACACACACAACTCTGTTACACATTGAAATAAATCACTTATGTCTCCCTTCCATCCAAGTTTTGGCTTACATATCCTTAAATGAAAAAACACCAGCATAGTCTCCAAAGGCCACCAAAAACCTGGTTGATAAAGATGTTTAACTAAGTGCTGAAGTTCAGATTAGAACAGGAAATAGCTCTAAACCAAAATAGAAAGCAAAATAATAAAGAAAAATGACAATTCATATCAAAGCTTGGCTAAATTTTAATACACTCAATCATGAGAAAAGAATTTTCCTAAAATGTTGGTTTTTAAGAGGACATTTTTAGGCTAAACTGAACACAAAAGAGAAGAGAATCTCCCTAAAGAAGTTTTCTGAGCCAAAGGAAAATCAAATCATGCTTGAAAAACAAAAGCAAAGACCAATAATGCCTGTCTCCCTTCCGAACCCATGTTTTCAGATTTGCTTTAGTGTAGGTTTTCCAGCTGACGGCAATTTATTAATTCTATGCTCTGTTATTTCAATGTGACCAAATCTAGCCTTAACCCATCATGTCCTAATGGGTTGATGAATGAGACAATTATTTTCAGTCCCTCACGAGCTGGGAAACTGCACCCTGCTGTACTCAAACACATGCAGACATACAGTCTACTATGCTTCTAACTGAAGAAACAGTAACTTGTCGCCAAAAGAATGATATTTATGACCACTACTGAAAATGATTTCTTCTTGTATAAAGACAATATCAAGAAAGGCACTATGATTTAAACAAACAAAACTGAAAATGATTTCTCACAAGATTTCATATGTTCAAATTTTTA